GCATGCAAAAATACCCAGATCTTTACCCTCAAGAGGATGAAAATGAAGAAAAAGAGAAGTTGAGAGAAGATTTGGAAGCTACTCCTCTGGAGGCTTCTGCTGCCAAAGCAGAGAAGGGATCTAGCTAATGAAGATGCAAGGAGGCTGTTGTCTCCATTTCTCATTTTCAGAGACATGGACTTCTGCAGTTTGTCTGTCTTCTGACTCGTCAACAAATCTTTCACCATTGTTCTGTACACTGTATCATAGTAAATAATTTATTGCTGAAGGAGAAATTTCAGTGCTACAGCCTTGCAAATAACTACTGCAAAAAGAATGAGTATGTATTGTGTAGCCTGCTATCATACACAGTTAGTACTTTACCGGGTGTTTTTTACCCTCAAGTTCAACTTGAGTTTTGACTTGAATAATGTCTTTAAATCTATATAGCTTTCAACTAAAATTCCACTAGCACACCAGGTCTGTCTTCATTTCAGTATGTTCTGATATATAGCTGCTCTTTCTTAATGTATTCTGTTCTTTTAATGGAAATTGCATTAAATGATTGTTTTGCCTTAAAGATTTTTTTTTTTTTTGCCAGAGTGATACGTTGAAAATTGCCTAAAACTATAATCTGTAAAATAATTTCAAATGGTTGTATTAGATTATGGTTGTGTTTTACTACCAGCATCAGGTAAGGACTGCCAGAAAAACCTTGAAATTTATATATCCTTTGATTTCATTTACTTATTGTGTTGGCTTTTGCATTTTTAAAAATGGTGTGTTGTACAACCATTGGTAAAGATGAATGGAAAGAATGGTGGTCACTGGCTGTATTTTTCCTTTGAAACCACAGTTTTTGGGTTCCTTTAGTTAGTAACTGCTCCTTCAGTGTATAGATAGGCTCTTGTAAAATACTTTGAGAACACAATGAAAGTGTTACCTGGTGTAATGATCTCAAAACAGATACTGTGACTTACGTACATATTAAAAAGCAAATACTTTTTACCTTCATTGAAAGCTCCTGTTCCTTTGTGGTGTGTTGTTTTTTTTTTTTGTTAACACTGCTTGGATTTGAGATACTCTCCTGGATTGTAAGCAGACTCTGAATCAATTTGTGAGGATCAGGTTGTTCCGGCTTCAAAGATTTTTTTTCTTGTCCTATTCTTTTCTCCCCATCCCCAGGCAGAAAGGCGAAAAAAATTTAAAGCATTTTCTGTTGCTGTAGTAGTCTGTGGGTCATGAACCAGCACTACAGAGGACCTGAACAGCTATTGAAAATATTTGAAAATTACTTCAGAGGTGCAAATAATTTAATAGTAATTCAATATAGTTTAATACCAGTGGATAAGGCAATGCTACATTGTTTTTCTTTCTGAAGTTGCAGTGGCAATAATGCAGCCCACTGAGTCTAGTAATGCTGAAACACTTGCCTGTCTCTGTGGGCAGCAGTCTTGAGCACTCAGCAACATTGCTTCCATATACTGTGTTGGTATCTTGTTTGCGTAAGTTATTTCAGTGTTAGTGATGATGCTTCTGAATGTTTGAGGGGAATTTCAGTTAAATGTTATAATGTGTTTGAGCTGTTTACATTTCACTACAGCTGTTGGATCTTCAAAAAGAATTGTAGGCAACTAAGTGGCTGGCAACAACTCGGTTCTGCCAGCATGGATAGCAGGTACTCTCAGCATCTCTTTGCTTTTAAAAGAAATAAAGTGTGACAGAGCTTCTCAGTGTGACTCTTTGAGGCATAGGAAGACAAGTGCCCAGTTAACCTGAGTAAGTGGCACAAAAGCAGCAGTGATAAACCTTGGCACTTAAGCAATTGGACCATGAAAATTAAATCTCAGGGAATCAGATAAACACTGGGCACCAAATACAAAAAACCAAAAATCACACGCACCCAAGCTTTTGGTTGTTCAAATGGAAATCCAATGCGTTATTTGTGAAGAAGCAAGAGCTATTTGTGAAGGGGTGCTCTGTTCTGAGCACGGTTTGCCTCCTGGTTTTTTCTGCTGCACTTTTCTTTCCCACGTTGCCTCAATGCTCTACAGGTTTTAGATTTATCCTCTGCAGCAGTTAGTATAGCATCTGTGTTCAAAACATAAAATATGAAAATCTTGGTCCTACACTAGGTAGGGACCTAAACCTAATACTGACAGGAACCTGCAGCATATAATCTAACATATTTGAAGGTGTGTTTAGGATGGAGTTGCTTTTTCCTGACTCTGCAGTGGTCTGGTAACCTGCTGTGCTAGATCCAGTACAAACATGGAATATGTGTAAGGGCCTTACATCAGAAACTGTGAAAAACACTATGTAATGTGTTCGAGGGGCTTTAAGAAAGGAAGTCATAGCTGTAATCCTAAAGAGGTCTTTGGAAATTATCACTTCCTTTTCTCCCTATCCTTGCAAATTAGAAACTAGCGTAACCGTCACCACTTCACTGCATTTTCGTTCTGGATGATCCTTTAAAAACTGGGAGTGATGTAACTTGGCCTGAAAAAAAAACAACAAACCAACTCTCATTCTCCTCACCTCCACTTTCCCCTCTTCCCTTTGCTTCTGCTCCAGTTCTGGGTGCCAGCCTGTTCTATTTTTGACTTTTTTCTCCCCCACCATTAAAAAATTAAAATAGTAATAAAGATTTGCTTCACAAGGAATTAGGGCTATATGAGACACAGAGTCCAGTCCGTCCTGTTTTCTGGTTTGGTTCTGAGAGTACATTTTCTGCTATGGAATTTGTATTTTGCTGCATTAAGAGAAGTAAACTGACTTCCTTCTGGATTTTAAGATCATGACAGCCATGTAGTATAGCTTGCACTTCAGTGAAAGATTAGGAATTAGAAGGTAGATCAACAGTAAATACCCGTTACCTTTTTCTTGGACCCATGACAGTGAAAAAAGATAAGCTATGCAGTGTGGACTGCAGCTGATTTTGATGATGTAATTTTAGGGTCAAGTTGTCTTTTTTTGACCATTATCTATCCCTTGAAAGTATTACAGAATTTACATGGAAATTTCTTTTCCATCTCTAGTAGTAGACTTGTTTTTAACTCTAGATGAATGGGGTGGGGGGAAGATTGTCTGGAATTTATTTTTTGCTATGTAAACTAATGCAGTTGTTGATGTATAGATAAAGTTACTCCTTCTTTCTATTATGTTTCCCAGCATTGGTTTGTTTATGTGATTTTCCTCTTATAGTTGCATGTTCCCATTTTAAATCTAAAATCAATCAGTGGTTATTTTAGTATGTAATAAAGATCATAAAATTATCCCTGGCAATATGTGGCAAGCTTGTGAAATAAGCAGATGATATGAAGTTGCATTTTTGTTGTCTGGATATAAGACTCTTGGTCTAATGTGTTTCTTATTTTCTGCGCAAATAATATCTTGGTTCTCTATCTGCCATCAGTGAGCTCCTGATTCCTGGGGGAGAGTGTCAGATTCACATGTTTTTTGAGAAATTGCTTGCAAAGAGTCATTTTGTAATTTTATGCATGGTGTATCAGGTGCTTTTGTATGTGAAGGCAAAAGGAGTCACTGGTGGGGAGAAGGAGAGTGTTCATTATGAAATAATTGCTCTTTATTTAATTCTATGCCTTTTAGTTGATCTCTGTCCTATAAAAATTGGTGTGATGAGTGTGATTACATGTTTATTAGAGTTTAGCTAAAAGGAGCTGTTAACAAGGCATGAAGCATTTCTGGATGTAGTAGAATATGTTTTTAATACAAATTACTTAGCCCAAACAGTTATGTGCAGATATAATCCCACTTGGATTTTATCCATTTAGTTTTTAGAATAAAAAGAGGTGGTTTTAATTCTGTTCATCCTACAGACTTTTATCATTGCTCCTGAAGTACTGCCTTGCATATTACTATGTAATACTTCACTTTCCCGGTTTTAATCATTCTTCTTCAGCCACTGCACACCCTTGTATTCTGGACTTAATGCAGTGGTAAAACAAGACGTAGTTTTGAAGGCTGGGTAGGACTGTTATCAACTGGCTAGAACTCCTGTATGATGCAAGCCACAAATTTGTATATAGCTTGTGATAATTTGCTTGTTAGGATGGGGTTCCCGCAATCAACTTAAATTTGAATCAGTGGAGCATGTGTCACATCTCCTGATGCAGATAAAGATTGCCTATAAAACTTGTCTCTTATGGGTGATTTTTTTTAATGTAAAATATATTCTAAGATATAGTTAACTACAGAAAAGTGGTTAAAATTAGATAAAATTGCGTTTTCAGAATGTGTTTAGAAGTTACAGGTTATTTTTTCCTGCTTTTCTCTGCAGTGCAGCCTACCTGCATTTCAAAGACCTAACTTTTAACTAGAGGTAAGACTTTGCTTCAGGTGTGAAAATTACCTTTTTCCCCCCTTCTTTCCAGCAACAGGAATGAAGTACGCAGTGGTGTCAAGAAAGAGATGTTTATCTTGCAGCTTATTCTAAGGATTGTTAGATCTGGGGATCTGGCAGGGCTGTGTTGGAAACAAGATCTATATCCTATGCAGTTCTGATTGAGAATGTCCTTGTTAAACCTTACAGCGATGGCTCCTGTTCATCTACGGCACTTATCTGATCACATGTCAATGAATCTCTTTGAGGCAAGTTGCTACCTAAATAGGTAGAACCTACTTTCTTATTCCTGGGGAAGAAAAAAAGGATATTATATGCTTCTTGGACTCTTGTTTTACTTCTCATTAAAATTCTAGCAGTGTTAGTGTGGGACGGTGTAGAGAAGATATCGGCATTTCTTAGTCAGATCTTTTCATTGGACATGACTGAGATTTTGAACAGCACCAGCCTGTCTGCAGTTGTTTTTCAACTGCTTTTAACCCCTCTGAAGCTGATGTTTTGTTAGTGATACTAAGAACTTGAGAGAAGACCAACCCAACAGAGGTACGGTTTTCTCAATAGAAGTATACAGGTAAAGTTAAGAACTTGTACAGGACCCCGAAGACTAAGTGCAACTATAATGTGGAGTTGCAAGGGTAAGTCTCTGTAACACACTGGCTTGATTTTAAGTACAGAGACCGACATAAGCAGACTTCTGTCTGCTTTCTGAGCATTTATAGGTAGGGCATCTTCCACCTACCTGTCATGCGTTTCTATTTTCATGCCTTGCATCCTACAAATCTACTC